CAGAAATATATAGTCAGAATAAAAAGATGTCATCCAAAGTAGAAACAGTGAGATTCATCTAATTGGAATGTCTCGTAATTAAATTACACACAATATGAAAGTGGAAAACTAACAATATTGTTTTATATTTTGTTTACACATATTTAACAGTTAAGATACGTGATTGTTATTATTTTCTATCTACTCCTTTGTAAAGATTTCTATTGGATTAATGGTTATTTTCAATATAAAAGATGGTTATATAATTATATGCAAGCTAAAATGGATGAAGGTCTCAAAGGTACACTCTTTGAACCACTTTATATCATTGGTGCAACTGATCCAGGTCAAGCTTATGCAGTTTGGCGTATTACTCGTATGTTCACTGCGTTAGGCTATGCATTCGAATACATCATGGGTTTTACACCGATTGAAATGTTGATTGAAAATTATATGTTAACATTAAATCATCCTGAAAAAGTTCAACGAGTTATGGCTCCATATATTCCACATCGTATATATGTAAATAGAGCATTAAAGAAACTTTTACCGGACTTGAAGATAATTGATTATGAAGAATTTAGAAATCTTGTTCGAAAGATTATGCCGAAAAATTTGAAATATTTTGGACCAAATATTGTCAGTATTATTGATTCGCTGAAAGTAGATGCCACATTTCATCCGTTATATGATGCCTCAAAGTTCACCGAAGGGAATCAAGAAGATTATCTTCTTACATGTTCAGGTCTAAAGGAAGCTATTAAGTTAGGATTGGAAGATAAAAAAAAATTCGATCATATTGATAAGAAAGTAATTCATTAAAATATTTCGGTTATTCAATTCATTTTGAAAGATAATTAAGAACTCAAACATCAAAATTTTATACTACTTTTCTTTTGTTTTTTTTTTAAATTGATTGTGATATTTTAATCAATAAATTTAGTTAGAATATAATATTGAGCATCGATGTAAATCATTCGAGATTATCACGAAGCATTTCGATATTCTTAGAAATGTAGACACCAGTGATGGGATCGGTTCGTGTTTTTGCAAAATCGAACCGGACCGAATACTTTTTTTTTGAATAATCGAATCGAACCGAACCAAATTGAACCGAAATATATTATTCTCACCCCAAATACTAGAGATTTTCTTCAAAATCTTCGATTAGAAGAGCCTTGTCAAAAGTAGTCATACTTTAAAAGCTATTTAAACGTTTCTTTACGAATTAGTTGCATCTTTTTCATAGCCGAGTTTAAAAATAATTAAGCTGAGGGGTTAAAAGGTGTTAAGAGTTCCAAATAGGGGTGCACAAGTTCAAGTTCAAGTTCGAGAACCGACTCAAATGAACTTTAGAACTGCAAAATCGTTGATTGTGGACGGACTGAACTGTTGAAACAGTTCTTTTTAATGAACTGAACTTTGTAGATCCCTAGTTCTAAACTAGGTTTATAATCACCTGGAAAAAGTTTGAACGGAACACATAATTTAGACATTGAAATTATATAAAGTTATCGGACACGCTAGCAGTTCCTTATAAAATTTTGCAACGTCGACAACGTTAGAAGTCTTAGCGAACTTCCTATATGGAAGGAGATCATAAAATTTTATGCGATAAGGAATGCTAACTAATCAATTGAAAAATAATTCTTTTTTGATTTTCTTTACCGACTGTGATAAATACAATTTACTTGATCTAAGTAACTAATTCGACATCTAGCCAATTTGAATTTTTCAGAATTTTACACTAAGGGAAATCTTTACAAAGGAGTAGATAGAAAATAATAACAATCACGTATCTCAACTGTTAAAGATGTGTAAACAAAACACAAGACAATATTGTTAGTTTTCCACTTTCATATTGTGTGTAATTTAATTACGAGACATTCCAATTAGATGAATCTCACTGTTTCTACTTTGGATGACATCTTTTTATTCTGACTATATATTTCTGTGCGGCTCTTATTAATTAACGCTAAGAAAAATTGTGTTCGGTTCGGTTTGAAATCGAACCGATCCCATCACTGTTGTTCATATTGACCGTCCATATACTATCTCATGAAAATTGTTACAGCGGGCTACAAGATGAGCGTAGAAATCTACGCTACAAAAACGCATATAAGAAGGCAAATTTCCGGCTATTTTCACGACATTTCGTAGCCTCGGAGTTGCTGAACAACGTATATTAGAACTTTTTTATTCAGACTTTGTCGCTCATTACAGTTCGTTCGGCGCGAGAAATGCATGGACGTCAAAGAAATCACCTTTTAGGAGCATTTTGATGAAACTGAAAAATGTCATATTTATCTCATGTGAGGATTCGTCATTTTTCGTGAGAAGATAGAGTTCGATGCGCAGAATAACTCCTCTAAGAGGAGTAGTAGTCAATCTTTGATTGCAAAGATCCTATAAGATTTGCTAGTTTCTCTCTAGCTAACATAGCTGGGGTGATCCGAATTACCCAAGTTGATTTTCTCGGAAAAAATGGTGTTTTCAACGGCTGGCATCGTGATGATCACTATGCTTCTGTAACTCATCAGTTCGACTTGATATTCTCAGGTCCTATAGAAGAGAACATGCGCTCTCCAATGGTACCATTTTTGAGGTTAAAAGCATGAGAAAAAATTGCATTATGAGTTGGGGAAATAAGTTATTCTCATTTCTGCTAGAATGATCCGGATTACACTAAGTAGTTTATATAAGTGATCCGAATTGTCCAAACTAGGGTAATTCGGATCACTTTTTGCATCTCTTTAGTATTTTGATCAATACTTTTTTCTGGTAAGTGCTATCGAAGAGATCTTTTCGCCAATTGATAGAGCATGTTCTGTTCTAGTCGCGATACAGAAGTCAGCTTTCTATCACAACTAACAACGAAGAGCGAATCAAAAAATTTTCAATCACTACCATTTTGATCCGAATTTCCCCAGCTGATTTTACTAGTTTTTAGGAATTTCGATCAGTCTTGAGAGTGAATATTTCAAATCTACACGCACACCTTCAAAAAGAAACCAACGTAAGGTTATTTAATTAGTAAATAAGCTGACTCATACAGTGTGTTAATGTGTCACATCCCATTTGGTAATAACACGCTCGGAAGAACAACGTATGTTTATATCGTCATTGCATCACTAATAGCAAGAATATCTGACGCAATAAGTATTTTTTACTTCTATATAAGCTACTATTTGTCGTTTATTGAATATTGTTCGTTTGAAAAATTCAGAGAAAATATTCTAATTGATTTCGATACAATTGTAAAGCAATGTCCTTCTTCAAATGTATTTTGTTACCAATAATACTTCAATATGCCGTCATTATTTTGTTGATTACCTTTGGCACGACGTTAATTATTGATTTGGTTACATATGACGACAGAAATAAATCCTTAAAAGTGAAACTGATATCTTGTATTTCTTGGACATGGCTTTACCTTTACCTTTTCCTTTTGGGCTTAAATTCATTGGTTGTACCAGTAATACTTCGGGCTGATTAACTAATCAGGTATTATTATGTCTGAGATTTCAAACTTTGAGAGATCGACATAAATCAATAGTTTTTTTTGTCCAAATGTTTAGAGAAACAAATTAATGCATATAATAAAGATAATATAAATTAATTTGCTAATCTCAACCTTTGCTTGTTCAGCAATCGATCTAATCAGTCAACAATAAACTAAATAAATAAATAAATGAGTATAATTTGTTCTTGTTAAATTATTCCCTCGACTGAAAGGAGGGTCATATAAAAAAAAAGTTTGTCTGTCTGTCTGTCTGTCTGTGTCAGGGTCAAAGGTCAAAGGTCAAAAAAACATTTTTTTTGAAAATGCTTAAAACTTCATAAAACATCGTTTGGAAGGGGTGTAGAGGGTAGATGTTG